AATTGGAAGAGGCACAGCAACAAGTTGAACAGGCGAAATCAACTGTTCAAGAGGAAAAAACAAAAACAAAAAAAGTCTTTTTATCTCGAAACTCGTGAGTTGATCTTTGCTTTATTCAATGACTGACCTTTGAACGAGAGATTAGACAAATTTTTCAATGTTGAATAAATTGGGGTTTCAGTCCAAACAATAATGATCGGCAAAACTATACTGTATCTAGTTCACCTAATGTTCTATTTCATGAGGACAATCCATCCCTTTTGTGGGTCAATGCAAATTTAACCCCTTCTCAATTCAAAGGCGATGGGAGGATTCTCTTGCGGTTAACATCAAAGTTCTTTAACGTACAAATGATGACGTTTCCAAACTTTAAATCGCGCGATAAAATGCGTAGATAGTGAATTAAACGAATTTTTATTTCAGGGCCTCCGTTTCCACCATTGCTGACCGGGTCCCGGGATATCTCTAAGAAGTCTAATACTGTATGTAAGAATTTGAAAAGTGATTTCTATTTTATGTATGTTATTCTAAAAATTTAAATAGATTTTTTGTAAACCGTTCCGTTTCTAATGAAAAAATTTTTACATTTTAATGACCTTCAAGATTTCATAATCCTTGACCTCAAAGGATTCTTTTTCGCTTATGCGTTTATCATAATATTTCTTCGAAGCATAACATAAATTAGGCCTTTCCGAATCATTAAAGGCCAAATCGTTAACACCAAAACAAGGTCCACAAGAAGAAGCACTTTTTATGGCCATACTTTCAACGGCAACCCGGCTTATCAGGGGATTCCTAAGTTGTTTATCGAAAAAAAATATAAAACTATCAGGCGTTGCTCTCAAATTCTGTCCGGAACCGCACCAGCCGACCGGGTTGTATCCACCAAAAATCTGATTATCCTCGACCTTCATTACCAATACGACGTCATCTTGGTTGTTGCACTTGAGATGGAAGTCGGTGAAGTGAAATCCATCACGACTAGCCCGAAAAAGCAATTTGAACTTGTATACTGATTGTGTGTCTCGATTGTAATCGATCCAATATGAAATCTGAATTGCGTGTTTTGTGCTGATGATGGATGAGTCAACTTTAATCCGTTTCGGAAGAACACCGGCTTTCAGTCCAGTCCTGTGATAATTCACGAGTTCTTCAACCAGCTGATGAGGTAACATCTGTCTGTAAGGCAGCACCTTGCGGTAAATGTCCTCCGATGATATTTGAAAAAATCTGATCGTTGGCAAAAATTTTTTCAGAGTTTTTCCTAGAGCTGAGAAATGTTTCTTTGACCATTGGGTAAACTTCTCTTCCGACATTTGCGTTTGGGCGATTCCCCATTGAATCAACCCTTCCCAGATGGCTATCTCTTTCATCACCAGGTCGTCACGCTTTAAAAGTGTCATTAAAATCTCTTCATTCGTTTGTGCAAACTGTTCGGAATCAAACAACAACAAAGGATTATCCACAACCAACTCTATGCAATTCTTTTTCAACTTCTGAAAAGAAGCGTGACCGAAAGAAATATGAAGAACTTGAAATATATTCTGGAGTATCCATTGCTCTTGACGACAAAGATAATCCTGCACATAATCCGCCAATTCTTCCAATGCTAGCTCGTCCGCGGCGTACAATAATTCCATTATTTCGGAACCCTTCCATCCTCGGATATTAATTTTACCACTATAAATATAACTAACAGAAGCCCCAATTAAATAGTCAGGATTTGAAATAAGCAATTTTCCTAAAAGTAACAAGTATCAACCCAACCGAAACGTACTTCAGTATCACGTCAAATATGATTGGTGACATATTCGGTTTTTTGATGACCATCATATCCTGATCTCTCTTGACCCAAACACTTGACAGAGCTGCGGCAAAAAATGGGCATCTAACACGCAAGATGAGCGAATGAGTCTTGAAAGTCTTCACATGCGGTTGATGACCGACCTCAATCAGGACATCATGGTAGTTCGTATCCATGAGAAGTTGTCCATAATCAAGGGAGAGCTTTGGTAGAAAATCGCTTGTCATGATACAGTATTATTCTCAAGATTTCAAAGATCCGATCGATTTAAAAAATATTTCAATTGAAATCCTCAAGGCCTCGGAGAAATGCACATGGATATGCGTGTGATGTTGTCGATTACTACTGCAAACGTCTCAAATTATGCATGACGAATTTAAAGGAATCAAGACGGTAGTACCGTTAACTCGATACTGAATGTTCCTAACTGCGTATATTAATGTTTTCTCAGGATCAATTCCATTGGATTGTGATGCGAAGCCTCACCTTTTACAGTAAACACATTACGCACACCAATCATATCCAAAATTATTTACGTGATAATTAAAAGACGCGCACATTTATATTATGATACTGTAAGTCAGAAAGAAGGTCTATTTACATATACAGTATACATTATATATCCAACCATTGTTTTCAATCAAGTCATTCATGCACCATATATTGTCATCACGGAAAGTATCGCCCAATTTTTAAATGTACTGTATATATTGGTTATACAGTAGTGATCAAATATTATACATCGCTTTAATAAAAAATTTTAATTTTTAATAATTTCGTATAAAATAAAATTTTTTTATAAATTTTGGTTTACTAACTAATGAAATCTCAAAGAAAATAATAGTAAATTTATTTATTTATTTAATAATAAAAAAATAAAAATGAAATAAAAAAATTTTTTTCTATTTTTTTTTTTTTTTTTTTTTTTTTTTTTAATCCGTAACCATGTCACATGGCTTGATCTTTATTGAGAAGTTATATACTGTAACTATCTACAATATTACAGATTTTTCACATAATGACTACTTGTAAGGAAAAATGAAAAGAGGTGATAAAAACTCCTTCTAATTTATAGAAAACTTAA